CTCACCGCGGGGGCGGCGGGATCCGCCGCTGGGAAACGAGGAGAGCGGCTCGCTGCTCCCGGGAGGGCTGCGGGGCCCCGGGCCGAGCCACCTCCCGCTGGCGGCGGCACCGCCCCGCCCAGGGCCCGGTTAACCCCCTGCGCGCCGTGCAGGCTGCGGGAGGGCGGCCCGGCGGTGCGGGAACCGCCGTGTTCCCGGGCGGGCACAGGGAGCGGGAGCAAGGCGGCCGGTGTGAGAAGAAGTGTGTAAAGAAGCGGGAAAGAGCGGGGCTCCACGGGAGAGCTGCCGCCTGGGCACGAGGGTTCGGAAGGACCTTTTCCTAGAGATACAGATACGCACGCAGGTGCGGGCACGCCGAGGATGGTGGAGTCGGGTCGGGCTGTGCGGGCGTCGCTGCCTGTGCCTGTGTCTGCCTGAGTGTCGGTACGTACCGGCTGTAACCGCCCTGGCCGCTCTCACAGCAGGGATGGCTTCGGCTGCTGGAACTGACTATTTAGTTGGAAGGGACCTACAACTGATAGCTGAGTTTTGAGATGTCACAAGAACTGACAGTTTTTGCAGAGGAACGTGCCCTAGGAACTGCATGTATCTGAGCCGAATCATTTAAAAGGACTAACCAAGCAAAGTAAGGAAACAGGGAAGAAGGGAACTGAGGCGGCCAGCCAAGCAGCAGCAAGTTACTCTGTAACCAAGGGTATTGTCTTAGAAGTTCATAAGGTGGTCACTTAGAACTTTAGGGCCTCCAGAAATAGATGACCACCAGAGACCCCCAATGAAGCCCCTCAGAGACATATTATAGGGATATGTATATCTATGCTAATAAGTGTTAGAAATGTGATGAATATGTAACAGGAATATGGGGAACGAAAAATGAATAATCAAGTAATGCTGACATATAAGCTGCAGTGGAGCTACCTCTGCGTGCACTGCGGTGGGCTGATTCCCAGGGCACCATGAGTGATGTGATTACGCAGCACATCATAATAAAGAATGCCTGCCTGCTAAAACTCACAAAGTGAATCTCAGAGGTTTCTTTATTTTAGGTAACACAATGACCACTTAGTCCAGCTGCCTGACCGCTTCAGGGTTGACCAAAGATTAACATAGCAAAAAAATAAAATAAAAAAAAAAATAAAAAAAAAAAAAAAAAAAAAAAAAAAAAAAAAAAAAAAAAAAAAAAAAAAAAAAAAAAAAAAAAAAAAAAAAAAAAAAAAAAAAAAAAAAAAACATAAATCACACTGAAAGCATAAATTTAATGTTATTCATACAGTAACTGAAGACACAAACTCCACAATTCTACAACGCAATTTTAAAAATACTTTTTTCTACCAGAACCACTCTGTAGTTTGTCACAGTAGGGAATTCTTGGGAGACAGAGCAACTAAAGCCTGTTTGGTACATGATCTTCTGTGCCTCAGGATGGTAAAAACATTGGGCACAAGGCATTGCTGAGATGTACTTATTGCAAAATTACATACGGGGCATTTAGAATAAAATCTCGTAATATTCTGTCTCACACCAAAGGACTTGGAATGGGTATAAAAAAGAGACAAACCCCCTGCACACAGATGCATTTCTAGGCATTAACAACATGCAAGAGGAATTGCTCAACAAAGTCAGAAAAAAAATCACCTGTTCAACTTGTTTATATTTCCAGTGGGTAAAACAGAAGCACAGCCTTCTAATCCATCTTTCATTTTCTCATTCCTTGAGTATTTGTCAAGACTTCCAAGCTATGGTAATGGACAAGCACCTTAGAAGAGTGTCTTAATTTTATGGAAGAAATCTTTCCTTTAAACGGGAAAATTACCTACCCTTTCATCTCAGGGTCCACTGAAAAATCTGCTTTAGCTTTCAGGGTGTTTTGCATTCAGCTATATATCAAGAGAATAAACAATGTAAATGGCTTCTTTTGTAAATAATCAGGTTACTATAGTTACCTTGTCTGAAACATTCAGTAAATTATGCACTTCCGTGAGTCTAATAATTGGTAGCAACCTTTGCTCTCAGTCAGCTCTAGAAAACTTTAAATGTCCTTTTAGTCTCCTGTTCTTTGTAGTGTTTGGGTTTTCATTCTATTTAGATTTAGTGGGAAAGTACAAACGCAATATGTTAATGTTGTTTTAGAAGGGTGAAAAATACACAGCTATGTGCTGAGGTTATAACAACAATATGTAATTTACCTCACTTTTCAGAATTTTATATTGCATGATGAAAATTTGCATTTTTGGAAAGATGCAGGCTGTCTGTTCTTGAATTATCAAACATAGTCTCCTTTCTGCCTGCCATATACCATTTTTATAGTCAATTGGTCATATAATTCAGTGCAGCTGTTTTATTCACTGCATTTTGATTCCTCAATCACTCTGGATGTTTTGTATCATTAAAACTATTAATAGGAGAAAAAATGTGCCAATACTGAACTTTTGTATTTCTATTTCTAGCTTTTTTTTTTCCCAGGCTATAGAATAATATGTAATTGCATTCTGAAAAATTATCTGCAGAGAACAGCAAAAGCAGAATATTAAGCTATTTGTCTGCAGAAAGAAATTGGACTTCATCCTACATCTTTTACAACTAAGTCTGTGTTTTCAGCACAGATACAAGTATTTAAAAAATAGATATGCTGAAGTCAATGGAATTTTACATGTTTGAGAAGCACAAGTCAATTGAATTTTTGTTTGTATTGAAAAGTTGATGTATACCTACCCTTGATCTCTGAAACATGTTTAAATTTTACTCTAGTTTAAAAACACATAAGCAGTAAGATTTATCTATCAGGTATATATCAGAACTCATTGAAATGAAAACAGCCATTAGACTTCATTACAGTGAAATGGTTGTATATAAAATGAAAATTACTCTTCGGTTGCTAAACTGCCAAGTTATTGTTAAATCTTTATCTGCAATTCTCTTTTAAAAACATTCATATACGCATTATACTTGGATGCAATTAATAAAATGTAACTGCACTTTTATCTTTGGGCTTGCAATCAGTATTCGAAAAAAATGATCTCTTTTACTACTTGAAGACATTCAGGGCAGAGATGGAGCACAACACAATGAAACAAACGTTTCAGCATTTAAAACAAAAAGGCTAGATTTTGTAATAAGGACCCAGCTTTTGACTTGAGCATTTCTCTGAAAAACAAACATGGAAAACCAGAACCTTCCACTGCTTCTATATGGAACTGCTGATGACTTTGAAAACTGCCAGCTGCGTGACTGCATTGACTCAGAAGTAAATAGAACAACATGATTACTGCAATAAGGTGAACTCACTTCCATCCTTGTGTTCAGCTGGAGCTTAATTTGTTACACCACTTTGATTTCATATCCCTTGGAGAACAGGAAGGTTGTGCTTCTGCTGCAGCTCTCCATTATTCTAAATGCACAAACACGTATTGCAGGATTGCCCCCCTGCTCTTATGAAATCTCAGGCTTGTTAATATTCTAATTCATGGTATTCAAACTGTGATCCATCCAGACTCAGTTGATCAACAATTCAGGTGGAAATTTCCTTAGCTTGACTAAGGAAAGCTGAGTATACATTAATGGTACATTTGCAAACTTCTAAGAATTGTAGAATCACAAAGACAAGATCTTAGGAGGGGACACGATCAGGTCAGCTGACCCAAACTGATCATACGATGTGAGCTTAGATATAAAAGCTAAGAAAAGGAGGAGGAAGTGGAGGCATTCTTTATTTACAACACTTGCCTTCTGCAGCAGCGGCTACACATGCTGGAGCTCTGCTTCCTGGTAAGTGGCCGGACATCACTTGTGATGTGAAGCAGAAAATTACTTTTTTCCCCTTTTGCTTGTGCACACAAACTTTGGCATTTGCTGTAGTAAAATGCCTTATCTCAACCTAGAATTTTTTTTCCATCTTATTTTCTCTCCCCTGTCCATCTGACAAAGCGGAGTGATAAGACAGGCTGGATGGGAACATGACAACATTTTGAGGGTTCAGATTAGCAATAGTTTTACCTATTTTCAATCAACTTTCACACCAAAGTTCTAAAGAAAAGCAACTTTGAGCCAAATCCTCTGTAACATTCTGTTCAAAGAAATGTATATTTAGTAATACATTTTGGAATCTTCAGCCCTTGTATTCAAAGGTGTAAAATGTACTGAATGTACTCTAAAGAGGAAATTCTAAAAATTATCAGTTTATTTATTAAAAATTTCACTTTTCACAGTACTAGCAAAAAATATGAAAATAAAATTGCATCCTTTCTAAGGGTCTTTATAATAAATATTTAATTATTAATAAGATTTCAGGGATATCTCCTAATCCAAGTAGATAAAAAAAACAAGTGTTAAAATACCAGTGTGTCTTAACTTTTTCAAAATATTCAAGTACAACTTCTATACATTGCTATTTCAAAGTACAAACTTCTACTAGTGTGAATAAACATGCAGATCTAGCATAAAGTATTTTTGTTGCAGTCAAGACTTCAGGATAAATATTTTTTTTTATTTAACAGCTGAAAGTGCAGACACCATATATAGCTGAATCCACACCACTGTTAACAAATGATTCAGCTTCTATATAAAAGGACTATAACAGGAAATGCCACCAGGTCTTAATTATGTGTTTGAAAACTATGATCAACTAGTTTTTCTGCAGCAGGCATGGCACTAGACTTGTCCTAGAAAGCTGAATATCTGGATAAATCAAATGCATTTTTGTGATTAAGAAGCATTGGAAGAAACCTTCCAAAGAGGGCTTGACTTTTTTTACTGCAAGTATCCATACCAGTTCAGTTCTTTCTATTTACATTTCATCCCATACCACACAGTTGCCCTTCACCTTTCTTTGTGGTGTAAGTTATGAGTATGAGTATACTAAAGAAACTTTGCTGATTTGGAAACACTGATAGCACACCTGTGTATATTCAAATCAGCAGCAATATGGTAATCTTATTTGACAACAGCAAAGCGACATAAGTTGTGTAGGAGAAAATACAATAAACAAAGCAAAACTGAATTTAACAAAAAGTCTAGGAATAAGCACTAACAGCTGTTGTTTGTTCTTTAAAATTTGCTGTAATCAAGCACAATGAAGTTCATCTATCTCATGAACCAAATTAACTTCTCAACCACAAAAGTAATCTAACAGACACATAAATAGTGCACAACATAGGCCATACAAGGGTTTACTTTCTCTAAGTCTTTTAAGTTACTTATTACATCCCTGAAATGGTGGCTTTAACTCTTGCTTGCTGGTGGTGGTTCAGACTGAGGTGGCTCTGAATCTGAAATAGGAAAAAAGGTTAATGTTTACAGAATAACTTCAACCATAAGAATTAAAAAGTCAACTAATTTTTTTCCCCCCTCACATAAGAATGCATGAAAATTACAGTAGTTTTAATTTTGAATTAACAAGATAGACAAGCTATCTATGAAATTTGAAGTATGATGCAAATCTATAACCTAACACAAAGAGGTTATAGATTTACATATACAATGGGTTGTATCTCCTGCCTGACATGTCTAGGACTTATTCTGTGCAAGTGAAAACAGAGAAAGCTCTGTCTCAAAAGGGGGTTGCAAGGTGCTCATGCTGACAACTTCTTTGGATGAGCAAGAGGGAAAACAATGCAAGGAAAAAAATACAAGCACTACCCTCAGCTGTCACCTAAAATAATGAAAAGGACGAGGTCAAAACTAAATCAAGGTACATGTCTGCATGAAACCACAGTGTTAAAAGCATTAAACAATATCTCCTTTTACACTGAGATAAAGAATCAGCTGGAACAGCTATGATTGCAAAGGAGGGCCATACAAGCAAAGCAGGTGTAATATTATATAAAAATTGGAAAAAGGAACTAAAAAATAATATGTATCTATAACAATCTGTGCAGAACACTGACTTTTCAGCAGACTTTATGGTGTACCCATGATTTTTTTTCTCTATGCATAAGTGATATAACCAAACCAATGTCATGATTACTCTGAAAAATCTTCAGCTTTCTTTATATCTCAAATGTCTCATGAGAGGCACACATTAAAGAAATCAACTATCACCAAATAGATGAATCTGAGATTTTGAAATCCCAAATCCTTTCATTTTACTCACAGTAATGGGAAAGAAAAATGTAGTGCACAAGAAAGTTAAATAGAATATGAAAAAAAAAAAAAAAGAGTAATATTCAAGGTTCTCTTTCAGGCTGAGGAAGAGCACTTTTAGACTCCACAGCTGAGTTGTTTGGTCACTATGCCTCACAAAGCAGCATCCTCTGCATGATCAGTTTAGATATGTAAGCTGACTTTGAAGAGTGGCTTCTCAGGTTATGCACCTTCCTTCGGGTCCAGACCAAGATCTGGCTTGATCCCTTAGTTTTATAGCAGTTTTTATTCTGAACAAAACCACACAACTTCTAGTTCTCTGTTTGCCTGTTTTATTCTGATACTCACCTGGAGGGAGAGGTTCTGCACACCAAAACAACCAACCAACCAACCAACCAACCAATCAACCAACCAACCAAAAATACTGCAGGTATATTAATGGAAGACAAAGATAAATTCTGAAAGAGCTAAAATGTCAAAGAAATTAAAATCCTTGGCCTCTAAGACTTTCATACATCAATATATAAAGGTCATCGGAATCAAGGTATTCATGATAATTACCACTGTATATAAAAGGATTCCCTGATACTAATAAAAAAAAAATTCTGGTGCATGCAATGTCTATATTCGATAGCATTTTAAAAGATTGCTACAGAAAAGTGATATAGCAACCATGGTTACCAACTCAGTGTAAAAAAGCGTAAGTAAAAGGTCTTTGACAGAACTAATGGGAATTTTCTTCCCCTTTAACCTTTATATATATAGCATTTATATGTAAGTGTCTTCAAATGATGTCTTTCATAGCTATTATCACTGTGTTGACAAAGTAAGGTTTGAAATCATAGGTAAGCATTGGATAACTTTTTTCTCTTAAACTGTTGCAATTCCACTCTCTTCAACAATGTGCATATATTAATTTTGACAAATTTTTATGACAGTGATTTATTTCTTAAACACGGGTATTAATGATACTTGTGACAGAAGTTTCCAGAAAAATATTAGGGACAAAAGAATATTCATAACAAATAGGCAACAAATATTTTACAGTCTGCTTTAATTTAGGCAGGATGGCTTTGTCCCCGCAGCATTTTACAGAAACACATCACACAGAATCCCCTGTATCAGAACGCAGAAGCCCCTGGATTGGAACAGAGCAAACTGCAATTGTAGAGATGAAAAAACTCCATGAAAGCACCTGCCTTCGCTGACTGCAAACAGGAGCACTCTTTCTTTAGCTGGTCATAGGGTATTGTAAACTAAGCACAGTAATTCAGTGCGTCTCACCACATTCAGAGAGCCTCACAAATTATTCAGGCTGTCCTCTGCTGTTACCTTAAGAGCCCAACTCATTTTAAAAGAAACAGCTTTCAATAGTGTTACCTTTGGACTGCTCACTATTTTCTGATGGTTCTTGAATCTTTTTTTCCCATCTAGTACACTGCTGAAACCAGTCAGTCCCATAACCATTGCTAATTAATTTGCTAAAGTTTACTGCTTCAATTTGTCTCTGAGCAGGCCTGTAAATACAAATATATTAACGGAAAACAAAAGCATAAGTAAAGAAAAGTGGCGATTAGGTGGGAAAAATGTATTTTGTACAGAAAAGGCTTTATAATTTATTTCTAATTATAACATTATTTCAAAAATATAACCATTTATAGCCTTATCATTTTTACATAAATACCAAAACATATAGTCTACGTGTAATCACATAGGAAAAAATACAAAACCAACCAACCAATCAACCAAAAAAAGCATACAACTATGCCTGATTAAGTGCTGTGTAACTTTACAGGAGAAGACCCATCTATTTTATTGGAATTTTACATGTGTAATACTGGTTGTAGAGACAAACACATGAAAAAGGGAAATCCCACAAAGAATGTGTAAGTAAAAAGGCTGACAATACTCCTTCTGTGCTGCACAAAGGTGGAATTTTGTCACAGATTTGCTCTTAAATTCATTTGATGGTTTAATCACTTATTTTGCATCAATAACACAGTTCTGAACCATACTGGGATTACTGATGAACAAGTAATAAATTTCTAAGATGAAGTATGCAGAAAAATTCAGCTGTGCACACAGCTGATGATTTGATTACATCATATCGCATATGATACAATAATTTGCTTAAAAAACCTCTTCCAGGTGTTCATGACAGTATTTCTGCTGTGTCTGACCTTGCATAGACTACAGTTTATGTCTTTCCTTAATACATCCGTCCTACTTGTGTCTGTAACCTATGATTACAAAACTAACAATGTGCATTGTTGTTTTCATCTGTTCACTGGTAGTTTGAAAAATACCCAGACAATTTAGAATATCATAAAATTGTGCTATATAAAGACATGCACGCATATGCTTAGTTTTCCTGATGCAAAGTTACACTGAATAACTTTCCTATATAAGTTAAAGTACTATTATTTTAGTTGCTTTTAAACTATTTTAGCATCACATGTGATAGCAAGTTTAGTAGCAGCAAGGATCCACAAAGTCCATACACATATCCACTAATCTCTGCAATTTCACAAGGAGTAATATTACCTGCATACATAAATAGTTGCAAGCTTAGGTGTTTAATGAATTTCGTAAGTGCACTACTTACATAGGTGGGAAGGAAAGTTTATTTGCCCCACTAAACTCCTTGGTTGTAGAAACATTCGGCATTCTGCTTGGATATTCAGGGTTTATAGCTGGGAGCTTCATCTGTGTTAGAGAAATCTTAGCTTAAAAGGAGTTATGAAAAAAATAACCAAGAATATTGTGTGATAGTATAGCATTTAAAAGTGAGAGTGATATTAACAGCCCTAAATGTCTTCAGATTTAAATGTCTTATCTATATTATTTCCACAAGTAACAGTACTGGAGTATGGAGGAACAGCAGAAGAAAAAGCAACCCCTTAGTTAGTTATTCTACAAGATTAACTGTTTGTTCTCTCCATAATGGGCTCTACACAAGCCTTTCCCTCACAGTACGTTTTCACACAAAATTAAGCTTCAAATTCACACTTACCCATTGCAACCTCTCATTTTGGTCCATTTCTCTGTATGTAGTCTATGAAAACAGCCCAGTCTTATTAAAGACTGGGTTACCAGAATATAACTTTCAGCTTAATTACTTCTTTTTTTTTTAATTAATAAAAAGCATAAAACATCCCATATAATAAGAAAACAGTTGCAGTAAATTATTAGAGGTTTGAAATTCAAAGAAATGCACATATATGGGGGAAAGCCTACAACAGAAAAGTGTATTTTACTTTTATCATCTTTCGCTTGACATCTTGACAATGACAGTTAAAGAAACTTAGTCTTGATTTAAAGACAGAAAGATGACACCTAGAAAGCCAGTGAAAAGACTTTACATACTCTAGAACTGAAAGTGGGAAAACTGAAAAGAAATGGAGAAACATTAGCAACACATATCAAAGCTGTTTATTTTAACTTCGATCAAAATCAACAGCTTCTTAAGGGTCAACTTACTGTGCACACTGAGTATGGAAAATGCAAAGAAAAGTATAATTGCATTTGAATACATCTAATCAATGAACTAATTAAGAAGCTTCAAAAAAAACAGGAGACCAAAGTAGCAAGTGACAAAATGACAATTACTGACAAAAAAAAGCAAGATCAGAATTTGGGTTTGGAGGGCACCTGAAATCCTGTCAGGTACTGTTTTTGATGGGCAAAATTCAGCATTTAAAGCAGACCCCTGTGCCACTACACCCCAATGGTTACAGCTGAGGGGGCATTTTCCCTTTGACAAGCCTTTATTTAGCAGCCATCTATTTTCCCAGATAAAGCAAACTATGTAGGACTTTTTTTTTTACATGGTTCTTGGTTTAAAGGGTTTTCTTCCTTTGTGAAGAGATAGCAATGACATACTCTAAAAATTACTGTGTGTTTACTACATATACACATTTATTAGTCTCAGACTCAAGACACGTGAAATACGGTATGTATTGTGCCTGGCTGGTATATGAGGAACAATGGATACCTGCAGCCAGCATGGAAAGCTAAAAGCTCCCAGATGAAATCCTGGCTTCCCTGTGATCAACGACAAAATTCTAGATTACATTTCAAATCTCTGAGGTAAAATCCTGACCTCAGATAAGCAATCCTTTTGCTACAGCACACACATACCTATGTATGTATCCATATATACACAGACATTTCAGACAAGTGCCTGAAACAGAAGACTTCAGAGATGAAGCAGTAATCTTACTAGTGCTGCAGGGAGATTGGCTAATGCTGATGCAAACCCTTATAACCACCTCCAACTAATTTCCCACCCATACAGAGGCCTCCCTCCTTCTTAAGGTCACAGATTTTCATTCCAACCCAGTCGGGACAGATAATGCACAGGCACAAGAACCACAGAATCACAGAATGGTTTGGATTGGAAGGGACCTTAAAAATCATCTAATTCCAACCCCCCTCTGCCATAGGCAGGGACAATTTTCACTAGATCAGGTTACTAGGAGCTCCATCCAGCCTGGCCTTGAACACTTTCAAGGATTGGGCATACACAGCTTCTCTGGGCAACGTGTTCCAGTGCCTCACCACCCTCATAGTAAAGAATTTCTTCCTAAAATCTAATCTAAACCTATTTTCTTTCAGTTTGAAGCCATTCCCCCTTGTCCTGTCACTGCATGCTCCTCCTCTCCGTCTTTCTTGTCGGCTCCCTTCAGGTACTAGAAGGATGCAATTAGGTCACCCTGAACCCTTCTCTTTTCCCGCTGAACAATCCCAATTCTCTCAGCCTGTCCTCATAGGAGAGGTGCTCAATCCCTCTAATTATCTTGATGGCCTCCTCTGGACTCACTCTAACAGGCTGATATCCTTCCTGTCCTGACAGAGCTGGATGCAGTGCTCCAGGTGGGATCTCACCAGAGCAGAATAGAGGGGCAGAATCCCCTCCCTTGACCTGCTGGCCACGCTGCTTTTGATGCAGCCCAGGATACAACTGACCTTCTGTGAGCGCATATTGCAAGCTCACGTCCAGCCTCTCATCCACCAGCACTCCTAAGTCCTTCTCAGCAGGGCTGCTCTCAATCTTTTCGTACCCCAGCCTGTGTTGATACCAGGGTTGCCCCAACTCAGGTGCAGGACCTTGTACTTGGTCTTATTAAACCTCATGAGATTCCCATGGGCTGCTTCTTCCTTGGCCAGAAGTCCATCACTTTGCCATGAGCACAAAGGCTAAATCCTTCATACACTAGCACATCTTTGCTGCTTTGCAAAATTCCCAGCAGAATGAAAATTACTGCCATGATTAAGGTGTTAAGGAGGAACTATAGGATCCATCTCGAGGTATGGAGAAACCATGTAATAACCCCCCTGATCTCCAGTCCTCTACACAGCAACAACCACGAGGAACACTGGAGATTTTAATAGTTCATTAAAAAGCAGCATAAAGGTTTAAACCTTCAGAGCAGGGACCCACTTGGGAACAATGTTTCCATTGTTTTCTTCCTCCAGCTGAAGAGGTACCTTCAGAGGTTAAAATGGTTTTGCACTTGTCCCTAAGGGCACCCTTTGGGATTTAACTCCATGATTGCATCACGTATCTCTCTTTTAAATAACTGCTTAGTCAGACTGGACTGAAAAATATTTTCAATACATTCAATCTCAATACTTGAGTTAGTTTGCTGCTGCATTATCATCATGTAGTCAAATAAATAAATTGAATATTCCTTAAAAACTTGCCTGTGGTGTTTTGGAATACATCTCTTACAAGATGTATGGTAAAAAAAAAATTAAAATTGAGATTGTCTGGGAGGGCTTGTTTTATTGCCTAACTTGGAAAACTCTTTGGGAAGGTATTCTCAGAGCACAGGATAGAAACCTCCCAAAAGAGGATATACAAGAAATAGATGTGAAAGAAGCACCATGTGATGTTTCAAGATACACGATACGCTTTTCAGGGTACAACAAAGATACTGTGAAGGGCAGCCATATCAGAGATGGTGGTGTGAAGGCAGAGTAAACATAGCGACACAGAATCTGCATTCTTAGGCACCTAACCTTAAACAGAAACATTTGGTAGATTTAGAACTTTAGACAAAACTCAACTTCAGCTTTCGGAAGAACAGTGTAAATTATATATCAGGGCCTCAGCAGATTCAGAGTCTGAGCTGAATATACAACATATATTCACTTTGTATTTAATGATAAATAAAACACATGGGAACTTTCAATCGCATGAGTGAATGAAACTTGATCTCAGTCAAGCTCCATCCAAACTGAAATGGACCTCAGTCTGACAATTCACCACACGGATTTGAATTACTCTTACTGTTATTAAAGTTAAGCTTCACTCTTAAAACACTTAAGATAATTGGTTCTTAAGTAAGGGAGTGAGGGACAGCACTTTCTCTCTGTCCTAATTCAATCCTTTAAGAAGCTCTGCAGCAGGCCAAGTTTTTATTTTCAGTGCCTTAAATCTATGACTGAAAAAAAAGCTTCACCAAGAAGCATCAGGCAAATTATGGTTTAAACATGCGTTGTTTGTTTGCCTAGTGCCACAGATTAAGTAAACATTCCTGAGCCTATTCAGTAATGAGGTATTCCCATTTACACAACCCATCATTCTGAACTTGCACTAGTTACTCATCTCAGCAAAGGCTAAGGACTTTTTTTCCTAAAATGTGCAACATCTGCCCTTCTGTTCAAGAAAGGAGGTACTGGTGTCCAAGTACATCAAAAGCCTGTCCATGTATACCCCAAAGACCTATGGTATATGTGGCAACCAAGATTATGGAGGATTATTTAAAAAACATAAGGCTTCAGCATCTAAAATGGGCAGAGAGTATGAAAGAGGGAGGATAGCAGAGAGGTTTCCAGGACAAAACACCAATATCAGCACAGAAAGGTTTGTTCTGAACATAGCTATGCCTACGTTGTCTTGGATACATCTTTCATTCAAAGACAGCTAGTGCAGTATCTCTGGGCACTTTCTTGAATTTCAAACTAAACCAAACTTCTTCTTCAGAACAATCTTCTGTTCTTATCTCCTTCTTCTTTCTTCTTCACCCAAGATTACTTAACAAGAAGTCGCTTCACCAAGAATGAATTGCAGGGGAAATAAAGCAGAAGAAGAAAGAAACTAACTACTGGCTTTCATTAACACTGAAGTATCTGCACCATATAATGTGATTAGAATCTGTGTTTCTCATTCTTATGCTACACCTGCAGCACTTAAACGTGGCTTTCTTTTCATTCTCTAACTGCAATACAAAAATTGCTTCTGGAATACAGAAACTTGTATGGATTACAGCTTCCCTTCTAGAAGAAGCAACAGGCCCAGACAGAGCTGTGTCCACAAGCTCTACAAAGCATCATCACAGAGTGCTTCTCCATCCTACCTTCTTTTTCTCTGTATTTTCTTTGTCCTCAGCATCGCGCTGCCAAACACTTTTCGTATCAAAATCAAAAGGCCCTCTTCTTGCCTCATAACTGTTACCACGATGGTCATCAGCCTTAAACTCTCTGTGAATCATATATTCTGGTAGAGAGGAAGCAGAGCTCCTGCAGGCAAAGATTTAACACCTGTTTGCACCAGGGATACCAATCTTGCACTTAAGTACAGAAGTATTCTGAAATGTTAATAAGTGAAGACAGAACCCAAGATGTTATGTGGGGCTTCAGCAGGCTTACCTTGGCTCATCCATCTCTGGGGGACTGGTGTGGTGTAAGTACCAGTCAGGTGCAGCATATGCTGCTGAAGGGGACTTTGTTACCACAGGAGTGTCGTGCTCCAGTAGGTCTGGAGAGAAAAAGACAAAAGTCACCACTTTTCTGACTTCTTCTCTGGTTGCAAAAGCATTACCTTTGTTTTCAGGTTGATGTTTTGTCAGGAAGAAATGCTTGCATTCTTCAGTAAGGAGGATTTGTCTCTCTTGATAATACAGTCAGAACCTTGCAGCGTTGTGTTCCAGCTGTACCTTGTTTGCCTTGCTCTAAATGCTTTAACATGTTTAGGCTGCTCAGTTAATTCATATTTCTGGACTTGTTGCTCTGCTCTGAGTGTGCATCTGCTCAAGTTCCTCAAGCTTCCTTCTTCAATAAAAAAGGAAATAACAAACCCACACATCACCCTGGTACAAGAACAGAATATGTACTGCACTGTAAAAAAATGAAGTAATTACAAAAAAATGCTTTATAAACCTCTACCAAGTTTTCTGATGGTGGTTTTTTGTGAAATTATTTTCATCAGGCCACTACTTAAAATAGCCCAAGCATAAATTGCAGAAACCTCACTCAAATGCAGCCAGACCATCATCATCTATTTACACCAAACACGGGGCAAGACCACATGTTTTGCTAAAGAGCACCTATACACAACAGACTGCAAGGATGTCTTGACAAGATGACCTCTATGTCACATTTTCATTTGCTAACTTTTCCCACAGGTTAATTTCAAAAGTCCAGTGGATCCTTCTGTAGCATCTACAAGCACTTTATACTACACTCAAGCCAAGCCAAAGAAAACGAAAGAAGACCAAAGATAGATGCTCACCAGGTTGGCCTCCTTGCTTTGCCAGCCTCACATAAGCTGAATCAGTCTCTTTGATCCACTTCTTGTAGCACCCAGAAGGTGGCACTTCATGGGGAGCTTTTAAAAGGTAACTGAGACTGGGATGTTGGGGAAGTGGGCTCTTCTCTGGTTGTTTCAGTGGCATGGGGTATTACCATCCTTGATAATGGAAAAGAAGATGTTTATACTAAAAGTTAACGACTAGCATCCCTTTTTCAGGCAAATTGAGCACACCTGGAACATGAATGAGGTGCTACATTTCGGCTTGGAGACAAAAGACCAGACTTGCTTGCTTATTCCAGGGGATATAGCACTTTTGTTTCAGTTTTGAAACACCATTCAGGTTTTCCTACAAAATGTTCTAATCCACTTCAATCAGAAAACTATTCCCAAGGGCACCAAAAGCAGCAAGAGGCACTGGAAACAGCAAGAAACACTTAAGCCTTTGGTTTCCTTTCCTTCTCCTGTATTAAAAAAAACAGCACCTGTCCATTTGCAGGTCTTTATTTGTAAAACAACCAAACCTGATCCTCAAATAAAAATAATTTTAAAACCCAACACTCAACACCCTACGTCTCCATACAGTACTTTCTCAACTTCTAGTGAGCAAAAGAAAATATAAATAAATCCTTCATAATGGTAAAACGGACAGAAAGCAAAGAAGGAAAAGCCAATCGAAGGCGCTGTGCCATGGAAGGTGAACAGGCACTTACCGAAGCTACTCCAGGTGCAGCTGATGCCGTTCCGTCGGTGTAAGGGGACCACGTCCAGGCTGCAGCCCCTGGGCACACACACGCGTTGGCTGTGCCCAAACTCAGCCCCAAGGAACAACAACAACCCAAAGTGCTGCTTCTCCCCGGCGTCAGGGGCGAGGAGACACTAGCCGGCGCCCGCTGCTGTTCCCCCCACACCCGCGCAGTCTGTCCAAGGCGCTGTCACACACTGGCACTGCCCGGGGTCCCCCCGCCGCCGCAGCTCAGAGACCGAACCGCGGTGACCCGACCGGGGACCGACAGCCCCCAGGGAACGGGCGGGACGGGCCCCGAGGCTGAGTTGCGGAAGGAGCCGGAGCTCGCCAGGGGAGTGCCTTCCTCCCTCCCTCCCTCCCTCCGCGGGCGGCCGAGGGCGGTGCGATGCTCGGTACCCGCGGCAGTAGCAGCCCGGAGAGGGAGGGAGGGACGGACGCCTGCCCACCCGGACCGCGGCGCTACTGGGAAGAAAGGGAAATGAACTCCATCCCAGCTGAAACCCGTACGAAATCCACCCCTTTACCCATGCCATTTACCGTTCTGTACTACTTAGTCTTTGCCTTCTGGACGGTCCGTGATCGCTTCCAGGATTCCTGGACGACTGAGGGTTTCCTGTTGGAGCTCTCTGTCTGATAAGTCCGACCCACTTACTCCGTGTAGCATCGGTTGCAGCCGTGTAGAGGAGACCCTCCGTTAGAACGGCCAGCCCAACACGAGTAACCGAGATGCTTCAGTACACTTCCAAAGCAGCTCAAACCCCTTCATAAGCTGCCAGCATCTCTTTTTAAGTTGGAGTATAGTGGACTTCAGATCCTCTGTGTCCCTGACTCCAAAAACCTAGAGGGAAACCCCAAGTCTCTGCAGGTTCTTTCTGCCAGAGCCTCCAGCTGCGAGCATTCTCCCTGGCTGCATTTTTTTTTTTAGTCTTTTTATAGTAGAGAGCATATTTTTTAAGTCTTGCCCTGCCTGGACTGGCCCAAGGGTGACTACATGAACTGTCTCCTGTTTGATTTGTTCAAAGGCTTATTGTTGCTCAGGGCTGGTTGCATCATGCTGTGGGGCGTGCCAGGTTGCACACTGGTTGGTGAACTTGTGTATGTTCTATCCATCTTCTGTGCCATGGAGCAATCCCTCCCTTCCCACACAAACCCATCCTTACACAAACTGCTGCTGCTTAATGCGTTTTATTGGTTGACCAAGCTTGGGGGGCTAGAAGCAGGGATGGGGCTCTTGAGAGTCTGCAGGGGAGAGCTAGCATTTCAGGTGGGATGGTTGGGGGTCCAGAGCTTCATTCCTCATTGAGTCCCTTCTGATGGAGAAGAGAAAAAGGGAGTGTGAGCATGAGGCGGTTGTCAGATGGCCATAGGGCAGCTGTGGGGCAAGGGGAAGTCCCACCTTGGCTCCAATGTCACGGCTCTTGGCCCGCAACTTGTTGACCTGGGACTCAGCAATGTCAGCACGCTCCTCCGCCTCATCCAGCTCATGCTGTGCCTTGCGGAACTTGGCCAGATTGGTGTTGGCCTGTTCCTCCTGGGGGACAGGGGCATAAGCAGGGCTGCCTCACAGCGTCATCTGTTCTCCTGCCAACCCCCCCACTCTCTGTCCATCCAAAATTCTAATTGCTCCATCTGGTCCACCTGGACCCACCTGGACCCACCTGTCCGTCCAGTAATCCCATCTTCCAACCACCCAACCATCTACTCAACAATCCATTCATCCTTCCATCCATCCATCCATCCATCCATCCATCCATCCATCCATCCATCCATCCATCCATCCATCCATCCATCCATCCTTCCACCTACTTAAACTTCCAGCCACTTCTCCAGCCATCTAGTCAGTCACCAATCTGTCTCAGCTTCTTTCCAACCAACCAACCATGCATCCCTCCAACCATTATTCTAACCTTCACACATCCCACCATCATCTCTCCATCACACTACCACCCACATTCCTCAGCCCCCAACACCTCACCCCTTGACCACCTCATTCTAAGGTCACCTGCTACTCCCCACATCCTGTCCCACACCCCAACCCAACGCCATTCCCTCCTGGGGGTGGTCCCAAGGCTGCCCCCCACTGCTCACCGCCTCCTCTGCCTGTCGCTTGTAGGCCTTGACCTTCAGCTGGAGCTTGTCCACCAGGTCTTGGAGCCGGACCATGTTCTTGCGGTCCTCCTCCGTCTATGGGGTGAGACACATGTGAGTCACCACCAAAGCAGTGAGGGTCAGGAGAAAGTTAGAAATGATCTTGGGGAGTAGAGGCCCTCTAGATCTGTGGGTGGCCTCAGCTATGGGGCAGAAGGTGATATGTCTCCCTGGGGGAAAGTGTCTTCTTTGCCCCGAGGAGGTCCCACCTGAGGTTCTGGATCATACAAAGACCCCAATTATACTGGGACAGCAGGAAGTGGCTTGGGTGGCTTATGACCACTGGGCCCACCATGCTCTAGGTCCCAGTACAGTATTGGACATAGAGGCAATGGGTGGTCTAGTCCACCTGTGTCTCACTGGCATCTAGATCAACCGTGTTATAAGTCATGTGCAGCATCAGACTTAAGGCCCTGTGGACAAAGGGCTGAGGGATGACCTTTTGGGCCAGCTCACATGCCCTACCTGGTAGCTGAGCTCCTTGACGCGACGCTCGGACTTGCGGAGACCCTTAATGCTCTCAGCGTTGCGCTTCTGCTCAGCCTCCAGCTCGTTCTCCAACTCCCTCACACGGGCCTCCAGCTTCTGCAGCTGCTTTTTACCCCCCTTGAGGGCCAACTGCTCGGCCTCATCCAGCCTCATCTGCAGGTCCTTGATGGTCTGCTCCATGTTCTTTTTCATCCGCTCCAGATGGGCGCTGGTATCTTGCTCCTTTTTCAGCTCCTCTGCCATCATGGCCGCCTGCCCGAGGAGAGAAGCAAGCAGAAAAGGAGGTTCATTAACCTCTACTGGAAGATATCCTAGCTGTTGTTCCCGCCAAGACACTCACGTCAGTGATAGCCTTCTTGGCCTTCTCCTCAGCATTCCTGCATTCCTGGATGGCCTCTTCCACCTCCGTCTGCAGCTGGGAGATGTCAGCCTCCATCTTCTTCTTCTGGTTGATGAGACTGGTGTTCTGGAGATGGAGAAGAGGGTCTCATGAGGTGTCTGTGGAACTGCTAATCCGTCCTTCTTCAGTA